AATGGCCGCGGATCCGGTTCGTAAGTCGAGGCGAGTTCACAAGTCGAGGTAAATTTTTGGGCCCGGAGCTGATCGTATCTCGAAAAATTCGTAAGTAGGGGCGTTCATAACTAGAGGTACCACTGTAGATATTTGCAGAAAATAGATAGCTGCTAATACCCATCCACATAAAAGTGACAGTCTGTTATTCTCTGAAGTGTCTTCAAAATAAAACAGGTTTTAATGCATTCCCAAGACAGCAGGTAGAGCCAGACTGAATCTCTGGTTGAAGGGTATTCCAAAGGATCTGACCCATCATAAAGAATTTGTCTGAAATTTGATTTTTCTAATTTCATTCCCCTAAGATTCCATCTTTAATTGAAGGAGCAGCTGTCTCCCTCAACTTAGCTGTTTTCCTAATTCTTTTTTTGTTCTGAATATGTACAGAAAGCTGTAAGTGGACAGGGATAGCAACATGGTGCTCACCACAAATTTTCCAGAATTAAATAGCTCCCACAAATCTCATAAGACTATTAGTAAAATCGCATGAGATATGAAGTTAGAAGAAATGAGATTTCAGGAATGAGTTGGGGAGATATCAGCCATTTTAAATTTGAGGGACACGATCATTGCCTGAGAAGGCTGCTGACTTCTGATATGGGGTTGTGCTGCAAAGACATTTTTATAACTTGTTTGAAATACTAGAATTTGGGTCATCCAGTAAAAGCTTTTAGGGGGAGATGGGCAGAGGTAAATCTAATAAATAAAAAAAATAAAAATAAAGCTAATGAGTGGGACTTCAGGACAGATAAAGGGAAGTATTTCTTCATGCAACTCATAGTTAACCTATGACAATTGTCAGCAACTTGGGTAGCTTTAAAATGGAGGTAGTAGATTCAAGAAGGATAAGGCTATTAGAGGCTACTAACCTTGATTAATGAATGCAGCTCTTCTTAAACTTTGTGATACAGCAAGTTTGGAAAATGAGAAATGAAACTGACTTCTTGAGTAAAAGTAGTGATTTCTTTGGAGTTAGAGTTGCTCAAGAAATAAATACCATGAGTTCCGTTCCCAAGGTCTGTCCTTAAGTTGAATTTGTATGTAAGCTGGAGCAGTATTGTATAATATTGTATAAGTAATATTGTGTAATTAACTCGAACCATTGTGTATTTAATTTGAATCATTGTGTATTTAACTTGAATCATTGTGAATTTTGCTACAGTAGACTCCGTTCTTAACTACAGGTCATCCTTAAACAGAGCATTTTCAACCCGGAGACTACCTGTATACCACTTTTAAGAAATTGAATTTTAATATTTATGAAATAAAATTGATAGCATCTTACAATCTTATAAAATAACATGTCATTGAAAATTAAAAAGATTAAATTTTAAAAAGATATTTACTTTTGCATTGCAGCCAGAAAACAAAATAATGCTCCTACTGATATCCTCTGCCTCTTCCCCACCCCCCCCCATTCTTTATTGTGTGCAATTATTTTTGCTCACCAATTTTTTTTTTAAAA